CATTGCACGTAAGTGTCGATCCACAATAGATGATTTAAGCTTTAAGAAGTAAGAAATTGATCAATTATAATCGAATATGAAAAGAATAGTCGATTATGATTGGCAATTTTTTACAGCTTAAAGATTAAATACTTATTGTGGACTGACACTAAAAAAATTTTAATCGTAAGATCATAAACAAATTGATCAATCAGAATTAATTATTCTCCTTACAGTCTAAAAATAATCGATTGTAGTTCGTCAATTCGCTTACGACTTTACGATTACCTACCACTAAAATTTTTTCACGTGCAATGGCCTTAACTCCGACTTGATCTAAAATGATTATCTACTTCTTATTTACAGTGCAGATGTATCTGTACTCAATTATATTTTGTCTTATAGAAACGATGTTTCGTCATGAAACTTTGCTAAGATAATTTCTTTTACAATTACGAAGGTACCTACAGAGCCAATTTTGCAATTTAGCTCTTAAATAATTAAAATAAATGTAACTATCTCCTTATTTACAGTGCAGATATATATTTGAGTACACCCATATATCATCTCGTAGAAGTAATATTTTGCCATGAGCCTTTTTCTACGTATTTTTTATAAAATTATGACTCTTGCTACAGAGCGGGATTTTGCAATTTGACTTTAAAAAAAAATTTACAATAGATGAAAATATTTGCACCTTATTGTCCTATAGTGCAAATCTATTTACGCATAAAATAAATTATTTATTTTCACACATTTTCTTAGAAAAATCGCTCTGTAGCTTTCGTCAGGCAAATATTCTGATTATAAATATCATAATTATATAGCTTTTCTCGCAGTATTTTGGCCGTAATATGGATGAAAAAGAATTCATCTCCGATAGAAGTCTCCATAATCTCTCCTGCCGAACCTTTAAGAAATTGGCCAATCATAATGGATTTATAGAAGAATAATCGATTGTTGGCCAATTTCTCAAGTTTCATTGTAGACACCGCTTAAAGTCACGTGGAGTAAATAAATATAAATGAAATTCATGCTCCAGCCTATGGCACACACCACATACACACTATATATAATATATATAATACACACACACACACACACACACCACCCATATGTGCTCTTTTATTTATAACTAGACATACAAGCGCGCGCTACGCGTCACTAAGCTTTTCATATTATATATTTTTATATTATTCGTGATGGTAGCGATGTACCGTCGTGATGAAAAATAGAAACTCATTCATCCTTGTTCATCTTATCTTTGTCCTTGTTCAAAATCGAAAATTTCATTCACTACTAACCTCGCCCGCTTTTTACAAATTGTCATAAATTGACAGTAACTCACGAATTAGCGCAGCAAAAGAACCAATCAGCATCGCGGAAAAGCGGCAACAATAACTTCGAGAAATGCGAGTAATCGACTTAACATCTCCTTTTTTATAAAGGATTTCGTTTTAATCGTAATTCTTTTTAATTAATTTTTCAGAAAGTGTTCCGCCTCAAGCAATTTGATTTTTTAATAAGCTACAGCTTTTTAATAGCAGATTTGAAGACAGCATGATTATCTTCTGTAAGGTTTGAAAAGCAAATAAGATCGAAATAAAAACAGGACATATTAAAAATTTTTTTGTATTAAAAATATTTTGCAGGTTAAGAAATTTATACATATTGACAGATAGATCATATTTTTCGTGGAAGGACTTGTTAATGTTAATAGCATTGAATCGTATGCATCGTGGGAAATGCTCACGTTGCAATTCGGACAATGCGGGAATCAACTGGGACACAATCTGTTCTCAAAGGTAATTTCTGATATCGAATGCTCGAATACCGGCGTCTCTTATGGTGCGAATTACGAGTATACGGAAAGCACAATCGAAAGATGGTTCGACGGCGTCACGGAGTACGGACAGCATGTTGCAAAAGCGATTCTCATCGATACTGAAGACAAGGTTGTGAACAAGATATGCAAGAATGTAAATGCGTCATGGGTCTATCAAACGAGTAATATTATTTGTCAGTCTGATGGTGGTTCTGCCAACAACTGGGCTTATGGCTACATGGTGAACGGTCTACATCTGTCGAATGCGGTGCTGAATGTTACACGACAAGAGATTGAGAAGTTGGATCATTCCCAGGGATTTCTCCTGCTTCTTAGTTCAGCCGGTGGCACAGGATCTGGTATCGGAAGCTACATGGTGGAACTTTTACGTGAGGAATATGAGACCAAACCCATCATTGCTGCAATTGTGTTACCGTTTACATTTGGGGAAGTTTGTACCCAGAATTACAATACTATGCTGACTCTAGCTAAGTTTTCAGATAGAGCCGATCTTTCTGTGTTACTCGAGAACGAGCAGATGCATTCCATGTGTACCAATTTGTTGAAAAATTCTAATACGACATTGCATGACATGAACAATATCATTTCTGAAAATCTGCTTGCTGTTTTTCAACCTATCTACAATGTGAAGTGTAACATGAATTTTTTATTGTCCAAAATAGCTGCATATCCCAATTTTAGATTTGTAACCATCAAGAGTACACCACATACTCCTGCGACATCTTTGCAATATGAATCTACGCACAAGTGGGAGATATATGTACAACATCTGAAGCAAACGCTTCGAGTTTCAAATTTACAAGCGGAATTAACGAACGTACAACTAAAGGCACCAAACCCTACATTAAGCAAAACAATAATATCTCATATGTACAGCCCTTGTGTGTCCAATATTCTTGTAACACGTGGCAAATCATTGAAGAATGATATTATAAATCCAGAAAATCTACAGAAAAGACATCTGTATCCAGAATGGATTACTCTGAATTCGTTTACTCATTTGCATCAGGAACGTAGATTTTTAAATAGGGACAAATTCCTAGCGTTGGTTAGCAATAATTCCAAGATATATCGACCATTGGACATATATCTAGACAAAGCATGGAACTCTTACAAATCTGCGGCTTTTTTGCATCAATATAAACAGTTTGGTTTGGAGGAAGACGATTTTTTACAAGCTTTTGCAAAAGTTGAAAACGTAGTACGTGAATACAAAAACTTAAAAAGCGACAATGGAAACTAAGTTTTCTTAGCTTTCAGTCAGCATCATTACTCACCTAGCTTTATATTTAAGAAAGATTTTCGTTCAATGTATATATTTTTAGAATTTAAGAAATAGAAGAGATGAAGTCTTACCTAGTAATTAATTTATTACGTTTATATTTTTATAGAAAAACAAACTATAAAAATTTTACAAAATGAATCAGATACAACTACAGAACTTTTAAAAACTTATTATTACAGAATATGACATGCAATAATTTATTAGTAAAAAAATCTAATTTTCTATGAATATGTATTTTTAAAATAAAGATTGTTTTAGATAATAAGATGATATTTATTAATAGATCAAATTTATATACAAATTTTAATATCGCTTAGCAATATATTAAACTAAATTTTAATATATTTTTCTCTGATTTACATATTTATGTTATCTTGAAAATTCTTAAGTTTCGCCTATAAATGATAAGTTTGATATATTCCTATTTTTCTCAAATGCAGATTTATTTTTGAATTCTCTCTCTCTCTCTCTCTCTCTCTTTCTCTCATCACTCCTACACTTTTTCCAAGTAACGTGTAGGCGCTTACGCGAGACCTTGAGTATCACGGTCACGGTTACTACGAGATGAAAAGGGATGGATGAGCGAATGTGACGTCACTTGAGAATCGACCAGGTTGCGGCTACAGACCAGAAAGAAACTTTCGAGTACAAGGAAGTAGTAGAGGGAGGAGGACGGATGAGCGTCAATAGACGAACGAACGATTATGCTTATCGAAGAAGAAGCGAAATGAGATGAAGCCAGTTATGTAGTACGATGACATGATTCCTGGGCCCTACAGAGCTCTTTTAATGCGTAATTTAATTTTTCTTATCATATCGTAATAGATATTTATCTTTATAGATTTTTATAGATTTTCATTCATTTTTTATTTTGTGTTTAATAAATTTCTACAGTAATGCACGTCACAAAGAAGTTTATATAAACCAAATCATACCATCGTAAAATTATTTATAACTTTTTTGTGATTTTTTTGAAAATTGTAACTTGGCATTGATTCTCTAATTTTTCAACAATTTTTCTTATTTTGTGTATTTTTTGGATACAAATATATATGAACTTTTCATTTATCATGATATGAATTCATTTTGGTAACAAGATAAGATTGGATACAAAAGTATTTAGAAACATCATATATATTATACACAAAAAAGATGTATAGCTTCTGCGCGCGCCTTTTAAAGAGACGCAGAATCCGGAGCCTGACCACCCCATTTCTTGGAAAAGAAAAGAACGTTTCCAGGAAGCAGTATTCGTCACCCCGCTATCCTCCCTCGACGCCGACTCGGAAACGATCCAAAGAATGACGGAATCTCGGCGACAAATGAGCTAGAATTTGATCTCTTATCTCGAGATATATCTGCTGCTTTTTTGTCCTGTAAAAATAGACATACGTATTACATTCATCAACTGGTATCGATTTTACAATCAAGAAACTTCTTTTCATATTTTCGTAGTAAAATTAAGATAAAGATTAAATTAATCGTTTGTCTCTTTTTATGATAACAATTTAAATAAAATTATAATGAAATTTAAATTAATTTATAATTTTCTATCCTGAGTCACTATAATACCTTTTATTCGAACACAATAAAAAATATTTATAGTCACTGACACAAAAAAATCGAGTTTTAATGTAACTCATTTAGCAATTACTTCATTTAGCAATTATTAGATTTTGCAATTCTCAGGATTCGCACGAAAAATATCTCGCTTCTAATTATCATATCTTCGAGACGTTTTTTTACAAATAACGTATTTTAAAACGTATTTTAAAAGATAATAGATTAGAAACGAGAACAATTTTTCTAATTTTTTTAATATCTTTTTTACAACAATTGCAATTTTCGATTCACTTTTGTTCTTCCAAATTGATGGGGACGCAGAAATCCTTGTGAGATATCATGAATGTATCCAGGATTTTCAGAGGGCGGATATCAATCTGTTAACACATAAATAGCAATTTTTTGCATTAATGAATTATTATTTTGAATATTTTAGAGCTTAGAACATCTCTTCGTTTCCTAATTTTGAATGAGAAAAATATTAGATTTTG